GATTTCTCCGATTTCGGGTCAGCGAGACGAACGGCATCGAAGCATCGTATCGCTTATAGCGCGCGATCGCTGCGGATGGTGGGACCGAAAACTAGGTCCCCGGTGCACGCTGCTGCCTATGACAGCGCTCCAAGTCACCGGAAGCCGTACTTCCAATAACGTGCGGTAGTCAGACGATCCACGCGGTTTCTTCGGTTTGTGACTCTCGGGAACGAGCTCGTGTTGTAAACAAACCCACCAACAGCCGGAATGACAGTCCGCCTTTCCTCACGAGCGATTCCCCGTAGCCTCTTCAAGCGGCACTAAAGGACTTTGCGAGACCGGAGACGCATCTGAGTGAGTAAACGGACAAGCGACTTCAAGTGGAGTCGACGTTGAGGAGGTTCCATCCGCGAAGCCAGGACGCTGTTAAGGAAGTTTCCCCGCTCCTGGGTGCACTCAAGCGGGATGGAGCAAGTGCAACTATCCACCGAGTCCAGAATCTTAACGAACACCTAGTTCGCCAGCTTCTCATGTTGAATGAAGACGATCACAGGCCCCGGAGTCGCGAGGGAGGTGCTCCGTCCCCGAATTTGAAATCTCCGCAGAGAATTTATCGATGCCCATATAAACAGCGATTATCGCAGAACTGAGAACAGAGTATTTGTATCAGAGGCTCCAGCTTTGCTCGAGCGACGCGGAGCCCTCAAGGAAATCCGACGATTCGAATAATTCCCTCAGACCTCTGCTTCATCGATCGAGTTTAAAATTCATTATCCTGAGCCAGTTTGTTATCCACATCCAATTATAGTCAAGGAGGAAATAACGGTCGATCCCTGAACAAAACTGGGAAACTCTGAACAGAACTTTCTTCCCCACGGCAAGAGTGAGCAAAGTATTGAACGTCAGACGAATTTTCAATAATGAGCCCGTCTGAAAACCCGCATGACCGACCCACCGAACGCACGGGCAACTGAGAGGCCGAGTCGATGTTCATCTTATGGATCTCGCTCCGCTTAGCCGTTTGTGAACATTTCCAGCGGAACGGTTGTCGCTCGACTGCCGCGTGAGGAACCGCGGAAACTCTTCATTTGTGTCCGTCTCTCCGAGCTCTCTTACGCTTCGATACCGTGAGCTCGGAGCGCGAGTCCACGTATATTGAGTATTGAGCTATTCAATCACTTTCCCTATGCAGCATTTTCTTCCCTCCGATCTCGACACGTCAAATAGTGTCGAATGATCTCTCTGCTCTCCCAGCCCCCCGCTTCCCCGCTGTCTCCGCAACGATCACAACTGTATCCTTCTGACGCGTGGAATCCGACTGCATGACTGACAGCATCCCTCCCTGTCGATGACGGTAGGAGGATGCTTGCGATATCTCTCACGCAAACCGTCAATTCATTGCGCGTTCAGGAGCACGCTGATCCGCCCCCTCCCGCTCTCGGTGTTGCTGCTGGCATGCTGCGTCAAGGTCGGAGGGCAACAATACGTTCGACTCCCACCGCGCAAAGCTCCCGCAAAACTCCCGCGCGCGCGCTCGCACGCATCCCATCCGCTAGGCCGGCGAACGAATTTGCGACCCGCTCTGTCAGCAAGCACCGTTTAGCGGCCAGGGCTCACTCTGTGTGGTCGCTCTTCGACGGAATTGGTCGGTCGGCACCAGAGTGGGGCACTGAGCTCGCGACTCACTGAAGTGGGAGCCGATGGAGGCGTGCGGTCGAAAAGCCGCGAGATGCTACGAAAGAGCGATCTGCTCGCTGGGGACCTGCAAGCCATCTTCGGACGACTTGCGGAACTCGTCAACGACCGGTGGCTTCCGAGTGCACTAAGCGAGTTGCTGCAGTCGCACATAGCGCAGAGAACATCGTGTCGCATCTATGTATAAGCTCATGAATAGAGTGCCTTCATTCCAGTAACTTCTTTCCGACCGTTGACTGGCATATCTTTCCGTAAACCTGTTCTCTCGCCGCTCTGATCGGGGAGTCCGATTCCATGATACGAGGACTCCGGCGGAGGCTCTTCGAACTCACTGAAGGGCTCTTTTCGAGGAAATTTGCTCGCTCCTGGGTCACGCATTGCTCGACAGCAGCCAGCCGAGTCGCTAGTGTCTAGCCATCGACTTTGCATACTATCTATGTGGTGGAGACAACGCGCAAAGGCAGCCGTGGGGAGACGTCCCGGAGATGCAGAAAACAAGGAGCCGCTTGAAACTTCTTGATAGATATGAGAACGGAGCAACAGGGCCAGAGGGGTCTTTGTCCTCGCTGATCACTGACAAGAACACTGACATCCTCTGCCAGTCGGTGGAAGGTGGCCCGGAACAATACATAGAGTATCTTCGCCATCTCTCGATGGATGTCGCATACGAGTGTGATAGTGCAATGTCAATCAGCAGCACGACTTAGGCAGCGAGCGGAGGAGAGGATCTGTAAGGACAGCTTTTGAGAAATCGGTGCCGCGCCGGAAATCAGGATGACACTATCCATCGGAGAAGCGCCTGGCCCGCTCGCGCAGCGGGCGCTGATGCTCTGGAGGAGACGGATCACGGTTTGTTTTCTCTTTAGTGACAGTGAGGCAGCGGCAACCGTCTACAAACGCCAAGAGTGAGGAAAAGACGTCGGAAGTGATTTGCTGCGCCCGAAAATCGTAAGGGCTTCATCCCCGCTCCTCGTTGTAGGAAAGATCCCGAATTTCAACCTCGATGGGGGCAACCCCGATGAATCTTCCGGAAGACGGGGGAGATCGCTCGCTGACAATCCTCTGAGAAGAGCAAACGATCATGATAGGAGGCGGTAGCATCCACTGCCGATGATCTGCTCGAGAGTCTCCGTTGAACAGACCGGTTTATTCTGTAACAAGCACTTCGTCCGCCTGAGCAACACTAATCTGAATATTGACGTTGCCTTAGCGGTTTTCCGTTCGTTCGCCCAATGCCTGGCTCTTTTTTCCGCTCCTTGAAGGAGCTCCTGTAATACCCTGCTTACCCCGGGACGACTCGGTCTCCCAACGGTCCCCCAACGGTACAGCGGCGGTGGCGACGACCAGGTTCCGGTTTAGCGGCTACTTCTTCATCCGAACATCGGTTGCGGGCATCGAGATCGACGTGGACCCGGGGCCGATACATGGGTCAGATTATTTTTCCTGTCGATTGTTCTATCCTCTTCCCCCTCGCCGCGCATCGTGATCACTCGGGAACCCGGAGCGGAATCATTATAATTAAAACAAGGTATTAAATATCCAGCAGAGCAAATAAATCTTTTCTCCGGAGCAGCGGCTACCCATTCGATCTCTTTTCTCCCTCGCCCCGCTCGAGTACGCTTATTCCTCCCCGCCCGCTTCCGTCGTCGGGCTCGGTGGAGGAGCCTGGAAAGATAGCGAACGGATCGACGAATTTCTTCGTTGGGATTACTGCGATCGGCGCTCAAGGAACGACGGCGGTGTATTGAAGGGCGCCGAGCTCCAAGGAACGCTGTATTAGATTTCATTCCGGCGAGGGTCCTCGAGGAGGATTTTTCCCTCTTCTGGACTAACGGAATGAAACGATTTGCATATTCGAGTTTCTGTCCAGAGACGAGATTAGTGGTTGACGAATCGCTGTCCTTTTAGGCGGCGTATTCATGGTTTCGCGAGCGGGGCCCTCGAAGAACACAACACGAGTATTCACTCGAAGCGGTTGAGCATCATCTTCCCGGCATCGTATCCGAGACACACGAGGAGCTTCCAGATCAACCGAGAGAACCGAGGGAGCTGGGAAAGATGTAGACCAGATCTCGCTCGGCCGACTAATTCCGCCAAACGGTGTGCTCGATTGGAGCTCAGCCAGCTTTCTAGCCTCAGAAACCAAGCGCAACGCGATACTGCTGAGGGAAGCCTTCACAGAGATTTAGCTATCGGTCTACTTACAGGGCAAGCCTCTTACGACTTAAGCTGTTTATGCGTCCCCGATGCAATGCTAATAGCGTTCCGATTCGATGCGTTGCCGTCGTTTCCGATAATTCTGTGGATTCTGCTCTCGAGCGCCTGATTTGGAGCGAATAAACACTGCAGACTACGCGGAAACCTCCGACAACTACTCGGTGGAGATTCCATGCTCTCTGAGAGCATACGTCCAGCCATTGAATATCGGACGAGATAGGGCCCGTTTTGCTTGTGTCTGCCCAATACACTTCGTCAAATTATTGTTTCATACCTCCGCGTATGATTTTTCTCGAATTACCCGATTGGATACACATCCGAACCCCCCTATTCAGGATCAGAATTCCCCCATTAGGGGAGCTCAGGGCAAAAGATGCCGGCAAGAAGGCAGGTTTGGGTCGACTAATTAGAGGGATCCGATTCCGTCGAGCTCAGCTCGATCCACCTACATGAGGTGTCGTTGGTCCATGAGTCTCAGAAATGAACAATGCTCTCAGCGATCAGCACGCACTTCGTCAGCTCGTCTCAAGCCTTTCGAATCCCTGCGCCTCGAGGGTAGAGTCGGCACCCTTTCCCGCGACAGCACATCAACAAGCAGAAATCACAAGCAGCAAGCTGCACGTGTTGGAGCTGCAGCGAGTCGGAGCGCTCCTGGAGTCTGTCTAGACCCGGACTTAATGCGGGATCGAATCAATGAGACGTGACTTTGTGACCGACGAAAATTCGACATCTTCACGGAAGGAAACGAATGTAAGCATCCGCTCCGAGTCGCTCTTGAGTTAAGCACGCACCAAAATGATCATCGAGTCCCTGTCAGCTGTTCTCTACTATGTTGACATGCGCGGGAAGACCGAGAGCCGCGTGCAAGCGGGAATACAGGTCCCCGCCGGAGGAGGTCTCGAGTTCGCCTGAGTTTTGAATAAAGTAAATCGTGGAGTGCGTCAGCGGGAGTCGATTCACAGAATCGGCCGCCCGAAGTCCCCCGCCTCGGAGGAACGCGAGTTCGAATCTGAACCAGTACAGAATCGAGGCAAGTTTCGCACAGCGAATGAGTCCCGCCGTTTCTTAGACAAATTCTTCCGTCTTTTCAGTAATGAACAGCCGCCATGTCGGACAGTGACTTCGATTCGGGCGAATCCGTGCTCTCGGCGAACTTCTCAGAGGCTGAGGCTTCCGAATCGGACCACGAGTCGAGAACGGCAGCGGAACTTCATGGATCGCCGCACAACAAGAAACAGAATTCGAGAATCTCACAGAGCGCTCGCCATGAGCAGCAGCCGTCGCTTAACAAGGACCGTCGGAGGAAGAGAGAAAAACTCAAGATCGGCGAAGAGATTCGCGCCCTCTCAGATTTCGAGAGCGACGTGGCCACTCTGCAGATCAAGGAGATCCTGAAAGAAATTACGCTCAAGGAAAAAAGAGACAAGCGCTCCTCGTATGGTTCTCACAGATTAGAACGTTCCTACTCGCTGTCGGTCAAGTTAACAAGAAGCAGCCGAAGAAGCAGCGGCTGCAGAGCCCTCCGGTTCCGATTCCGATCGAGGGCCCCTTCGCCCCGGCTGCTCAGCTCGTGGATGAATTCGTTTTCCATGCACCGAAGAGCGTTCGGTTAGTAGGGAGTTTCGCTTACGACACGGCGGTGAAATGGAGTGCCGTGGACATCGCGGTCGAGATGCCGGCAGAGTGTTTCGCAAAGTGGGATTATCACAACCTCAAGTATCATCACAAGCGGGCACTTTATCTCGCGCAGCTCGCAGCCGCTCTCCAGGAGTCACCCACGCGTCTTTATTCGAAATTGCGGTGGCACGTCAACGGAGACTACCGTCTTCCCGAGTTGGTCCTCACGTCGATCGATGGGTCGTCCACCGCGCACATACTGACTTTTCCGGAGGAGGATTTCTTCCAAAAGTCTCGCTTCGCGTCCGACAAGTTGAACATCCAAGAAAAGTTCATCGGCATGCCAATGAATTCGCGTAAGCCCGTCCCGATCTATAACGGAGGAGTTTTGCAGAACATGCTCCTCGCATCGACGGCCGAGTCCTTATCAAAACAGTTGAGCTGCTCGAACGGCGTACGGGAGGGAATACAGGTTCTGAAGCTTTGGCTCAAGAACCGGGGACTCTCGGAAGGTCCCGACGGCTTCTCGCCGTTCCTCCTGACGATATACGCGAGTCACCTGCTTAAAACGGATCGTCTGAACTCGATGATGGGCGCCTACCAAGTTATTCGCGCGATCCTGGCCCAGATCCAAGCCGACGACTGGACATCGACGAGCGGGACGACAGAAACTACGGCGACATCGAATAGTGTTTTGCTCGACGAGTCCGCTTGTCATAACTACTTCTACCGCTTGTCGACTTCTAGTCGAACGCTGTTGAAAGAGGAGGCACGGACCGCCTTGCACTCGATGAACTCGGGCTCGGTCGCGTTGATCAACGACCTGTTCTCATCGAAAATTCCTTTCTGTCGGAAGCTCGACTGCTACGCCCAAATCTCTCTCGGCTGCAGCAAACGGATGAGCGGTCTCGACGGATGGACGCGAGCCGATTTCGGCGGCAGTGTGCTCTGGCCCGCCGCAGAGGCGATATTGGCAACATTGCGCCGCGCTTTCGGTCGACGGGTTTCTCTATTAGCCAGCAAACCACTCGGGAGCGCGCAATGGGACGTCGGCGGCGAAATTCCTCAAGAGCCCCAGGAGCTCGAAATAGGCTGGAACTTGAATCCGGACGAGAGCCACCATATCGACAAGGGTCCGCCGGCGGATTCGCCCGAAGCCGAGGAGTTCCGTAGTTTCTGGGGCGACAAGTGCGAGATCCGTCGTTTCCAAGATGGCTCGATACTCGAGACGGTCGTGTGGCCCGACGACGACGCTGGCGGCGGCCACAAAAAAGTCCTACAGCACATCTGTGAGTACATCCTGTTGCGGCAGCACGATATTTCCCGGATCGCATTCGCCGGGGAGCTTTGCGACCGGGTGATCGAGCTGCCGAAGTGTCACTTTTCGCATCGCTACGGCAACGGGCAAGACCAACTAATCGACATCAATATGAAATTCAACGAGTTCGCTCGATTGCTCCGATCGCTGAAGGATCTGCCCCTGAGCATCACCAGCGTACAGGGCCTATCCGAGGAGATAGCCTACACCGCCGTGTTCCCCCAAACCTCAACTTCGTGCGACACGGACGCCCGGCTCATAACCAGAATCAACGGCCGCTGTGTTCCCAGACCGGCGGCGGCAGATCAGGGCGTCCCTAAGCTCGTCAAGCCTGTGGATATTTTATTGGTGATGGAGAGCAGCAGCAAGTGGCCCGATGAGCTCGGGGCCATCAGACACATAAAAACGGCGTTTTATTTCGCGCTGGCCACAAAACTCGAGGGTCGCGAGTGCCAAGTGTTCCCCGAACACCTGCTAGTCCTCTTCCAGGGCCTGGTGTTCCGGATCCGGATCTCGTGCCCGAAGGAAATTCCCCTTTCGAAACAAGAGGTAACCCCGGAGGGTATGGTAAGATTGGTCGAGAGCAAGATGAGCCAACAGCTCGAGTTCGAACACGGCCCACTCCCGCAGCTGATATCGGCCTTGCATGGACTGCACTTGCAGTATCCGTCGTTCGGGTCGGCGTGCCGCATCGCGAAACGATGGCTCTCGTGCCATCTGTTGTACGACGCCTTCGCCCCTCTCGTCGTGGATCTCGTGGTGGCGTCGCTGTATCTGAACCCGTTGCCGTTGAGTTGCGCGCCTCCCCATTCGGCCAGATCGGCCTTTCAGAGGTTCCTCCACACTCTCGCGACTTTCGACTGGCGTCTGAACCCGCTCATCGTGAATATAAACAATCAATTCAGCCCAGACGATATTCAACAGATCAACTCGCACTTCACCCGACAGCGGCAATCGCTGCCTCCCATGTACATTCGGACCCCATTCGACAAAACGCACATATCATCATTCGTCACGTCAGATAAACCCACGGGCCTCGCTCTGCACCGAGCCTCGCAACTGGCAGGCAAGTGCCTCGGCGTTTTCGAAGCTAAAATGGCCGGGGGCCAGGGCGTTCTCGGAATTTTCCGCACTTCTCTCGAGGTGTTTGATTTCGTAATAAAATTGGACCCGCGCTCCGTGGCTACATCACACCTAGCCCTCGACAGTCAGGAGAAGCTGTCGTTCACCAAGATCCGAGACGAAATCCCGGTGGTGGACCTCGATCCTGTTTCGATCTACGTCTCCGAGCTACGAGCCGCGTTTGGTCATCTATGCGTGCTGTTCTACGACGGATACGGCGGGACGGACATTGGGGGTCTGTGGATACCGAAGGCACAAGTCCCGTTGCCGTTCAAGGTGCGCAACGTCAACGCAAGGAAACTCGTCGAGCCGGCGAACGTACTCGTTCCGAATTACAGTGCGATTTTCGCTGATTTCAAAACGCTCGGTCAGGGCCTGGTAACTGACGTCGTGGAGCAGAGATGTCCGAACAACTACAATCAGCGGGTTCGTAAAGACAGTCGATAAATTTCTATCGGTTGCAGATTTCCGATAGGGGAGCGTAGGGCTTGTTGTGCGGCCGAGCAGATATTGTGAAAATGAGAGTGAAGCTAATCGGTACATACAATAAATCCGCAAAGACTGTTTTTCAACGTTTTTTTTCCTTCTCGTTCTCCTCATTCTGTCCTCGACAGAGCCCTCCGTGCCTTCAGACAGGCTCGTGTCCTAATTGTTCGCCGCCTGCGCGCAGCTGCTCTAATGTATTCCGGCTGACCGACGAGCCTTTGAAGGCTGCACTCGGATTTATCCGTTTGTGCAAATGGAGGGCGCTTGCCCGGAGAGCTTGAGTCTAGTGTTCGCGTGCTGTGGGCATGGAAGGTTGTGGAGGTGGCTGGAGGATAGGTGGGGTGGGCAAGGGGCTCGCTGTTGAGCGAGGGATCATCCATTTTTTTGCCATTAGCTGAAAGCTTTTTTAGAATTCCGAGAGGAGGAAAACGCGAGGGAAAGAACACAAAGGAAATGTATGAGTGAATACGTCAAGCAAAATTTCGCAAATTCAACGCTGCTGTCCTCCCACGGACGAATCGACTGGCGTGTTCGAGGATTGCGATGTTTGATGGATTCTCTCCGCGATATTCGCTTCTTCCCTCGCAGTGTTCCGTGCACCCGTCTCTGTGAGAGCTTTACCTCTGCCACGAACGTAATTGAGACGGTGGACATGATTTAGTGCCGAGAACAAACGTGGCGAACTGATACGGCGGAAGGGGATATTTCTCTTCTAACGTTAGACGATCAAGCTGCTTGCTCTGTACCGTGTCACGCCAACGCCGAAAGGATCTCACCTGTAAGAGAAAGGTAAACACTTAGTTCCAGCTTCCATGGTTTTCACGGTTTTAATTTTTGCCCTGAGTTTGTTACTCGCCATCGATGGTGAAAACCGCAGCCAGCGCAAACAAGCTAGTCTTATTATAGACGGGAAGAGCAGAGGATTTGTCTCTGACTCCGGAGCGCTTCTCTTGAGTAGATGAGAGCAAATCCTTGCCAGGCTTTGGGAATTTATGGCGTCATCCTTCACGGAATTTCAGCCAGACTCCCATCTTGATGTGGCGAGTAGCCTTTTTTCTCTCCCTACCCCGATCGAGACGAAACCCCTATCGCCATCCTTCGTCGTTTCCTTGTCTCGCTGCCTCTTCCGTCAGCCATTAACTTAGCAAACAGCTTCCTCTCTTCTCGGTAGGTCGGCCGAGGATTGTTTCTCGGATTTCTTTGTTCGGTCCGCTCTGCCCAACTCACTGGCGCTGTCTGAGGGCGAAAAAAAATACGCTCAGATGGCTCCGTGCCGACGCTAGAAACGACGGTCGTTGCAATCGTTGCGGCGGCGACAACTTCCCTTCGTGGCCTCCAACATGAGAACCGAGAACAGCAGCTTTCGACTCAAACCTCCCCACCCGGGTCGTTGCGTGATACAAGAAACCATTATGGTCGACATAGCAGCGAGAGGGAGCTTGTGATAGAGTTGTATAAGAGCGTGCAGCCAGCTCCCTCCGCTAGACCCCTCTTTCCGGCGAGTGTCGACTGTAAGCGACGTCAACGACGGTAATCATTTCCACCGGAGTTCACTTAACTCTCAGTCAGCCACTCTCCATGGAAGCGCCAGGAAGGCCTTGCTTTAGGCCGGGGATGCTTCATCAAGCCATTTTCCACAACCAGCTCCCCCTTCGTGTTCCCTGTTCCCCTCCCATGGGCTCGAACCACGCACAACCAAAATTTTCGAATAGAAAATCTCCCGAAACTACTGTCTACGTCGACCTTCCGCACATCTTACGTCGAGGCTCCTCATCCGATCGATGAGGATTCGCGCGGAGAAGTTCGTGTGTACCCATCCGGAGCACATCAGTTCCCCCTCTCGCCCCCTGGTGAATCAGGAGAAGCTCTTACAAATCGTTGGGTAGCTTGGATAGAGATCCTGAGACCATCGAATGATCCCACCGGACTGTTACGAGTTGCTCAAAACAGAGCGAATCGTGGATGAGGTGAGCGGAGAGAAAGATTGGGGAGCAATTTTTCTCCCAGGAATCTAATAAGCGCAATGCATCACCGGCTCCCACAAGACTCGCTCCTTGGCTCTGAACGATGAGGCGCGTTCCTTGGTTTGTTCCAGCAGAGGAAAAACCGAGATGATTCGCTCGTCCCTGACCCGGGGTACAACAATCAATGCCTCCTCATGCCGTGATCGACCAAACTTGGAATAGTATTTCTACTTCCTGTGATCATTCCCCCACATTCCTATTCCTCTTGACTTTCCTCTCCATGTTGGGTTTCGTGAGCTGTTTTATGGAAATCGCTCGTCGGAAATCCTAAGAACGTCTGCCTACAAGTTCTGCTCACTCAGTCTGCGTGCATACGACGATGTGAGCGTAGATGAGCGACTGATTGAAGTGAGTGTCACGAGAACAGAACGGGTAGGAATCATAAAAGCTCGGCACCGCTGGAAACGGTTCCCTGCTGCAGCTGATATTCCCCATGCTCGGAAGTCGGCTCTGGCGTCTGACGATGTCAATGATGATCACGACTCCCCAGTGTCTTGGGGCTCGGGCTCACTTCGCACTTCCTTCCCCGTCCCTCGCTTCCCATGGTGTTCCCCCCGCACGGAGTCAGGGTGCGAGCTTCCAGATCGCCCCTTCGGCACGAAGGCTGGCCGAGCAGCTCAGCTAAGGCCGACTTGGCCCGGCGAAATGATGATCGGTGATAGCGTGTGGTTGTGAATGGTTGAAAAATGGTATGGTTCGTGCCCCCGCTCTCCTTCCTCCCAGTCTGCCAGCTATGGCTTGTATGTATACCAACAACAACAACAACGCCGGTGACGACAAGGACAACAACAGCAAGCTACGTACAACGCCGGGGAACAACAACAGAGGCACGAGACAATGGCATGCGCTGATAAAGACAACCAGCCAGAAAACAAGCTCGCCTTGTCTCCCCTCCCCTTTCGTGGAACGGAGGTCCCCGCGTATGTTCGCGGGAGCCGTTTGCGAGACTTGGCCCGGTGCACCTTAATGCAGCGCTACCACTCTCGGCTGCAACGAACAGTCTTGGTCCCCCACTGAAGTTCTCGAAGGAAACCCTCGCGTCGGGGGCGACGGGGGCAAAGGGAACACATAGGTCGCAGCACGATGTAATTCCGCAATTCGAGAAGTCTCCGTTTCAGGTGTCGCTTGCGACGCCGCGCGGTCCGCTCCGCTTCGCTCACGCTTTTCGGTGACCACTTGGTCGCGGCGGTGCAAATGGATCGAACAAGTGCAATCGATAGAGGGGCGTGATCCAACGGAGGAAGGAACCCGATCATTCATTCCGAACGAGTCGCTAATGCAATCTCCCCGAGATGATTGTCAACTCGATTCGGATGGATATTAAAACAACGATTGGAGGACGGAAGATCCGACGGGAAAACTCGGAACTTCCTGAAACAGGAACTCGCTCAAAACAATCTCTGCGGATGGAGCGGAGAGCAAAAGATAAAGGAAACGAGGCGGAGCGGAGAAAAACTGGGCACGGGGAAAAAGAGTTCACAATGAGTTCGAGCAGGCGGTCGCTCCGATAGAGCGACAGGCCGAGCGCAAGCAGCGGCGGCGGCCAAACGGCAGACCGGCTCCATTCCTCTAGTCGTTGCCGTCTGTCTGGGATGGAGAAGCCGGGAAACCGAATCAAACGTCGCTCGCGTACTCTTGGACCCACCGGAAGCGGAAGTTCTCCATGTGTGAGGCGGGTCGGCAGGCAGCGGGCGGCAACGTTGTTTTTGGGCAGAAGCGCAGAGGCACAAGAAGTGCACAGCCTGCTACGCTTGTTTTTCATGTCAGTCCGTCTGACGTCCCGGGTGAAGTTCAGAGGTGGGCTCGTACGGTTGACGATGCTCGCTCATAGCATCCACCAGAGACATTGGTTCGCAGGAAGTATCTCGCAGCATGAGGGTTGGATTCGAAATTTCAATATGATGAGAAAAAGCAATGAACGACTCCAGCGAATGTCGGCGCAGAAGCGTCAACACAGAGACACTCGGCTCTAGTTCTTCATTCATTCTCGTCGTTGCTTGGCCGTAGTATTACAATCAACGGCCCGGGGGCGAGAGGAAACCAAATGACAGACCGAGAGAAGAGACAGTGAAATATGTACGCGAGCGTGCGGCTAATGATTACGGAAGAAACAAGAAAGTGGTCAGTCCGACTGTCAGCGAGTCAGTCAGTCAGTCAGACGGACAGCCAGATACGCAGCCATGGAGTCAGTCAGTCAGTCGGTCGGGCGGTCAGCTAGTCGTTATCCGTCGCTGCTGCTGCCTGTTTGTCTTATATTTTATTAACACTTTCGGCGAGCTCGTCATAATCAAGTTCCTCCCTCTACCTTTCCGACAATGCGGGAGCGGACGCGGGAACGTTGTGACCGACTGATTGAAACGACGGAACTGAGCTCACGGAAGAGAACGAGGTCGCGGGTTCACGGCCCAGTGTGGGCTTCTACGCTGAGGTCCTCGCGCTACGAGAACGCCCCGATTCTCAGAAGCAGGGCTAAAACCTCGAGCATACCGAATACGTATGTCCACAGTGGACCTCCGCCGTAAGCTATGATGGGACTCGGTAGAGTGTATATCGATGTGTATGACCGAGCTCCGGATAAACAGCGTGTTCTCCTGCTGAGAGATCTCCGATCCGAAGTTCGAGTCGGTCTGTCAAGTCTCTGAACTCATCCGACACTATTTCGATGGCTACCTTGAACATCTGACGCGGCCTCGCAGAGCAAACTACTCGCTAGCTCTGACCTGCTCCTCGAGGCTGTCGAAGTCATCCTAATCAGGCTTATTGCTATAATGAGAAGCGTCATCAAACGTTCGCGGAGGACTTTCAAGCTCCTGGGAACCCGAGTATAAATCTCCTTTCTGACCCTAATTCTGAGGTCGCCGTCTCATTCATTCGTCAGCAGGTAGACACGCGAGCGAGCAGTTCCTCGTGTTCGTATTCCTTCAGATCACACACACCCTGTCCGAACCCGAAGTTGGGCTCATCGCAGAAGAACGGAGGAGCTCATTAAGGTCCCGAGCCGAGTCAGCCCAGCCGCCCGCCGCGCCGCCAGCCAGCCAGTGGATTTC